TGCTTCTGCAGCTTGAGTGACAGCTGCTGCTTCTGCAGCTGCAGCAGCCACCAGACACTCACCCCAGCTTGTCTCCTCTTCCTCCCCTTCCCCCACCAGCCCAACATCCATGGGATCAGCACCCATGAGTTGATCCTTCTCCTCAGCAGTAGCTGGTGAAGGGGCAGCAGGGAGAACAACAGCAGCAGTAGCCGCAGGAGAAGCAGTAGGAGGGGTTGCAGGTGCTGCATTTCTGCCGGAAGTAGGAGTGTCTGCAGCAGCTGTGGAGGCGACGATTGGCTTGGTGTGTCGAGCCAGAGGAGGGAGTGAGAGGCGCAGTTTACTGTCAAAGACCCCCCGCCGCTCACTCAGCCGCCCCTCCCTGTCGATTTCCATGCGCCTGCTGATGCTCCTTTGCAAGCAGCTGATGTTCTGTTGCTGCTGCCTCTGCACACGTACCGTCTCGCTCACTTGAACCTCTTGCGCTCCCATGTCAGGGACAGCGCCATGTGCAGCAAGAGTGGCGGAGAGAGACGAAGCAGCAGAAGGCAGCGTGCCTGCAGCTCCTGCTGCCACTGCTGCCGTTGCTGCCGCTGCCGTTGCAGCTGCTGCTGTTGTTATTGCGGTGGCTGCGTTGGCTGCCGAGGCTGCTGCGTGGGGGTCTGCAGCCTGCACACCTGCTGCAACAGCGGCCGTGATAGCGGCTGCTGCAGCGGCAACAGCTGCGGAGACAGGGTGAGACGAGGCAGTGAAAGAGTAGGAGGAGGCGGAGAGGAACGCTGCTACTGTCGCTGGAGGAAGGGCGCTGTGCTTGCTGGGAGAACTCCCCCGTGCAGCAGCAGAGGGCGAGGGAGAGGGAGAGGGCGAGGGGCAGGCTGAGCGAGAGCCAGAGGGACAGGCCAAGGGGGATTCGAAGGCAGGTCCCTGATTGGAAAGGGGTTTCTCTGGCTGCTGGGTGGATGTATCCATGGGATGAGGGCCACAGTTGATATCTGGGACAGAAGTGGAGACAGTGGGAGCAGCAGGTGCAGCAGGCATGGCAGGAGTGGGGTGTTGAGAGGCGGTTAGTTGTCCAGGGAGGGGGTGTGGGGATGCCGCGTCTGGCACGATCCAGTGCTGTGCCTGCTGCTCCCGCTGCTGCTGTACCCACTTCTGCTGCTGCTGCTGCTGCTGCTGTTGCTGTTGCTTCTGCACCGTTCGGTGAAGCAGGCGTGAAAAGCTTTGCGTGCCATGCTTGTGCTCCGAGGACAGAGGGGCAGGGCGGCGATGCGCTGCCGGCAGGGAGCGCGACAACTGGAGCGCCCGCTTCGACACAGGCTTACCACTGGCGGTGTTTGCAGCAGCAGCAGTGACAGCAGGAGCAACAGCAGTGGTTTCACCGGCAATAGAGGAAGAGGAGCCAGAGATGGAGAGAGACGCGGTGGCGTCAGTGCAACCAGAAGTTGCTGCAGCAGCTGCTGCTGCGGCTGTGGCTGCGGCTGGTGAGCCGAGACGAAGCGGAGACATGGAAACAGGCAATCCTGGTGAAGGCGAAGGTGACGCTGATGGCGACGATGGTGAAGGTGACGGTGACGGTGAAGCTGTCACCTGCCATGAACTCCTGGCTGCTTCCAACGCCATGGCTCCCACGGGGGTTGCAGGTGCCGATGCCGCGACGTGCAATCCAGTGTGCCTCAGACCTTTTGCCGCAGCTGCAGCAGACACAGGTACTGGCGGAAGCTGCTCCGATGCCACTGCCGCCGCCGCCGCTGCTGCTGCGGCTGCTGCTGCCATGGGGCTACCAGCCGCCCATGGCATCGCTGCTGGTGTAGCGCTGCATGAGAGACGCCCACGGAGGGTCCGGATCTCCGAAGAAGCAGTGCGATACGGCGAGCGAGTGGCGGAGCCTGAAGCTCTCACGCTGCGGCTGCGGCAAGCCAGGTCCGCAGCCTCCTCCTCTCCACCACAGCCCTGCACAGCAGGAGCAGCCTCTCGCGCCGACGCAGAAGCGGGAAAAGTCGGTTTGGCCGGAGGTGCTGTGCCAGTGCCATCATATGCCTGCGTGTAGTGCTCCAGAGCGGCGTCAGCTGAAGCAGCGCGCTTCCACGGGCGTCCCCAGGACGACGGCTCTGCCTCCGCGGCACCAGCGGCGCCGGTGGGAGCGGCTGACGGCCGGCGTCGTTTCTGCTTAGCCGCGGCTGCGCTGCTGTGCTCTTCCTCCGCGGCGCTGGCGCTGCTGGTGTCGTCGCTTCCGCAGGGATCGGGGGAACTGCACGCGGAAACGCGCTGATGGCTCGCGCTGCTAGGCGTGGGAGTAGGCGTGGCGACATGATGAGCTGAAGTTCGGACGTTCATCGCCGCGTCTCTTCCCTCCGACGCGAGGGCCCGCTGCAGAATTGAGACCGCCGCCGCGGGGAGGATGTCTATTGGCGGTGGGGCCGCGCTCCCAGCCTGCTCGACTTCCTCGCCGCTTCTTTTCGACATCTGTGCGCCGCCGCCGCAGACCAGTGCGCTTTGCTCCTCCTTGCTCAGTCCGCCATGCTCCTCCTTGCCTGGTGCGCGTAGCTCCACTCCCGATTCCACGCGAATCTGCGGCTGTGCGCCGCTAGTCCCCGCGCCGCCGCCGCCGTCGCCACCCACCTGCTGCAGCTTGATCGCCGCCTCTTTACTCGCGCGGAGCAGCGCCTCGGCGGTGCCACGTGGCAGCGCCACGGGAGCCGGGCGCTCTCCGGGGAAGTTGAGCTTGGCGGAGCGGCCACGCAGCAGCCGCGCCGCCATGTCGTATACCCGCGCCGCTTCTTCCGCGCTGTTGTAACTTCCAAGCCAGATGCGGTTTCCGTGCACAGGCTCGCGGATCTCCGTCACCCACCGGCCCCATCGCCGTTGCCGCACGCCGCGGTAGCGCGGTCCGCCGCCGCCGCCGCTGGCCGCGTCGCCGTCGTCGCCGCTGGTGTTGCCGCCGTCGCGCGCCGGCGGCGGCTGCGATGTCGCATGCGACGACTCTCGCTGGGGTGGTTGGGCTGGCGACGACATCATCGCGTGTGGAAGGTCTTCGTCTGGGATATTCCGGGACGGTGACTCTTCCCTCTTCATGGTACTGAGTGTAAGCTTCGTCTCGTTGTGCTTCTGCGCTTCAGCCGCGTCGCCTTGCTCAATTTTCCGTTGATGGTGCTCTTGCGACGGATGCTGATGGTGATGCTGATTGCGAGTATGATTTTGATGCCCCAGGGAGATGTTTCTGCTACTAACCGCAATCATCGCATCTGATCTTCTGGTACTATACTTGTAACCACGTTCAGTGCTAACTGTGGGATGATCTTTTTGCCAGAAATGCAGTGCGGATGTGAACTTTTTGTCTGATCAGCAAAATTGCGATCGACAGGGCCTCAAACACCTCGAAATCTGATCGATGAGTTATTTTCCGTTCCCGTGAAAAGGCGTGCCGTTCGCGTTGCTCTTCGTACTGATGGACTTTGGAAGGTCGTCGTGAGAAGGATTTTGGAGCTGCAGCCGTCTAGAGGGCGGCTTCTGCCGTGCTGCCGAGATGCCGTGTTGAAGGAAAGAAATTTCAGAATGTGTGGGCTTTGGTTGGACTGGCCTTATTTGGCCTGGTCGAGCAAGGGGACTGGCGAAGCCACGGGTGTCGTCAATTGACGAGAGAGCTCGCCCACTGGCGTAGGGGCACAGCTGTTTTTGTGATTGGTAACCTGCTGTTCCCACCATTCCCCGAAATGACGACTGCGGAGCCGAGTCGCGTGCTCTGGACGAGACAAGAAAGCTTGGGGAAAGGTGATTTTGTTTGCTTGCAGGATTTCCTTGGCGCAAAGGCAATAGGGGCAACATTTTGCTCACCTTGATGGGTCTCATTTCCGAACCGCGTTCCCACCCTAGCAGAGAAAGTATCCTGGTGGAAGTAGGTGAGTTGACGAGCGATAAGGAGGATGCCACGTCGGAGGGACTACGCGACCAGGTCAGCCCTATGAAGGATGTGATTGGACAGATACTCATAAGGTTGGAGAGTCTGGCGTTTTGTGCGTGGACCGGGTCAGCGTTACGGTCAACTACTAGGTACACCCAACAATCTGGCCCCAAGTGCACGTTTGGATGTTTCTTTGAAACGTCGTCGCTCCTATGACGATTTATCGCAAGCTCACAACCAATAGTGAGTAAATGTTATTCCGTTGATTGCGGGACACCAACCTGCGATGCGTTCGGAGACCTACTGTAAGACTTCCGTCAACTACCTGCCGATAGACCTGATTCAACGGTCGCAACTCGAGCAATTTGGAGCTTTATGCATTCGATACGACTACAACCGGTGCTTTGTAGACTGATATCGTTCTCAAATCCGACTGTAAGTTTTCACTTGCATTGTGTGACTAGTTTGTTTTGATTGTTCCCTTAATCAATCACTTTAACGGAACATATCCTGGCCAGACACGTTAAAAGTCTTAGCCTTCACTGGGTAGTGTAGTTGATTATGCTTAGAAATACTAGCAGAGCTAATATGGCTTAGTACGAAGTGCAATCATTGGTGCACTACTTCCATCCACTTTTGCACTCGTTGGAAATTCTCTAAACTCTCAACAACAGCATTGATCTACAACGATTAATACAGTCCGCAACATTCTTTCCCATCCATTGATACACCCCTTCCATACCTCCTAACTTGCCCTCTTCCAATAACCTCCCACCACCTCTCCTCACATCTTCACCTCCCCCCATCAACTCACTCCCCTCCTCCCATTCCCTCACTCTCACTCACCTCCCCCCTTGAACACTGCCTTCCTCAACCGGTTCCCACCGATCCATATCTCTCTCCACCACCTTGGCTTCACTAGTGCCTTTCATCCCCCTGCGCCCATGCCTTCCTGAGTCATCCCTCCGATGGAGAATATGACTACTCTGATCCATTCCTTGCTGCCCACCTTGCAAATCCCACCAGGGTCTTCCACTTGCACATCTACCATGCGCCTCATCATCATGACTTCCACTGTATCTCCCACCATTTCCATCATCGCATGAACCACTCCTCCCCCCATCCCTCCCCTGCCTCCCCCCATCCCTCCCCTCCCTCCCCCCATCCCTCCCCTCCCTCCCCCCATCCCTCCCCTCCCTCCCCCCATCCCTCCCCCCATCCCTCCCCCCCATCCCTCCCCCCATCCCTCCCCCCATCCCTCCCCCCCATCCCTCCCCCCCATCCCTCCCACCATCCCTCCCACCATCCCTCCCACCATCCCTCCTACCATCCCTCTCACCATCCCTCCCACAATCCCTTCCCCCATCCCTACCCCCATCCCTCACCCCATCCTTCCAACCATCCCTCCAACCATCCTTCTCCCCATCCCACCCATCACTAACCCTTTTTAAATACCTACTTCTGTCGCTCCATTGCTCAACCAGCAACTCAGGCCGCCTCTCTCCCCCACTCCCTTCCCTTCCACCCCTCCCAGTCGCTCTCAACTCCTCTTCACCATATGACCTCGTTTCGCTCCCACCTCTCTTCTGCTTCTCCTTCTCCCGCCCCTGCTCTCCCCGCTCCTTCATATCTTCATACTTCCGCCTTCCACTCCTCCCCTCCTTTTCCTCTCCAACCAAAGCACCATTTCCTTCCCTCTCACCGTCCCCTCGACTCGTTCCTATGCTCCCTGCCTGCCTCCTACTCCCACTTCGCTCCCCACTCTCTACCCCAAACCTCTCATCGCGATTCACCTCCCGTGCCTTCTCTCCCACTTCTCTTTCCTCTCTCCCTCTCGCGCTGTCTCTACTCCCTCCTCTCATCACCCTGCCACGTCCATCCCTGCCACGTTCATCCCAGCTTCCTGTCCGCTCCCGCTCTCTCACCTTGCCTTGTGCTCCCTTGGGATTCTGAGCAGGAGCGGGAGTATGGGACCGGTAAGAGGACTGTCGTGCAGCCAGCGGAAAGTGGTTGGACGGAGGAGGATGAGTGGAGGGAGGAAGGTGGGTGGAGCTGGGAGGATGTGTGGATTGAGGAGGGTGAGTGGCAAGATGGGTAGGAGGAGCAGCAGAAGCAGGGAATGGTTCAGGAGCAGCAGTTAAGCAGCCGATGCCACCTGCTTCCTCGATTGCATTCATGTTGGTGTCTATGATAGAGCGCCGTACCTGGATAGGAAAACAAGGAAACAAGGAACACAGGGGATAGTAACAACAGGAAACAAGGAACAGGAACAGGAACAGGAGAACCGGAATAGGAGAAAATAGATTAGGGAACAGGAATAGTGGGGCAGTGGGTAACCGGTGAATCCAAGGGGCGAGAGGAGAGGATGGACAGAGGGGGAGTAGAACCAGTGACCATTGATACATGCAAGCAGTGTGCAGAGTTGGTGGAGATGGATGGATAGACTTATGGTAGCTTTGCACGGGGACGGCAGGATTCAGCATGGGAATGGCACTGATACCATTTGCATTGTGGCACCTCAGAAGCTGCTCCAGCTGCAGATTATTGTTGTTATTATTCTGCCATCAATCTCGTACTACTACTACTACTGCTATAAGTATTACTACTGGAACTATTTTAAAGGTTCACACACACCACGACCACACACGCACACACCTGCACATGCACAGGCATACAAGAGAGAAAAGCAAAGGACGCAAGAGCACACACCACCCACCTCATACTGCGACCACCCACCTCATACTGCGATTGTCTTCGCCCCTGCGATCTGTACTTGGTGCGCCGCCTCCTGACATTCCCCCTATGCCCTGCTGTGGTGGTGAGCTGTGTGGAATAGTTTCCATGGCTTGGCAGCTGCAGAGGAGACGGCTTGACCAGAGGAACCGCGTCAAAATCCAAAAGAGGCCGGAAATCAGAGCGAGAGCTGCGATTGGCTGTCGAAAGTGCGACGTCAGCTGTGTAATCTTGAAGGCGGGAGGAAGGGGTACTGCGTGCAAGGCAGAGCGAAGGGGATGGGGAAGGGGAAGGGGGTGCAGTGAGGAAGAGAGGACGTGCGGGGTGGGAGAGTTATGTAAGTGTGTTACGAGTCAGTTCAAAACAAGGGTGCAGATGTCAGTTGGGGAGAAACTGTCTCTTCTACAAGAAACGGATAAGTTGCTTTGTTTATTTTCGACGCACACACATGCACATGTTCGTGCGTGCGTGCACGCACGCGCATGTGTGTGTGTGTGTGTGTGTGTGTGTGTGTGTGTACGTAAGTGCGTGCGTGTGTAGATGTGAGCGTGTGAGAAGAAACAACCTTGCATGCAATGAGCTGCAAGCCCCATGTCTGCGGTTCCTATCCAACGTCCACAGGGACCGAACCACATCAGCAGCCATCCTTGCCATCACCGCGCTTCCAAGAAACTTCTCTGCTTCACCCTCTTCCACTCCCTCCCCCATTCCCTCTCTCTCTCCCTCCCCCACTCCCTCTCTCTCTCCCTCCCCCTCTTCCTCCTCTTCTCCTTCCTCCTCGTCCTCCTCCTCCTCCTCCTCCTCATCGTCCCCCTCCCCTGCCTCGTTTCCCTCCCTCTCCTCACCCCCCTCGTCCACCCTCTCCTTTGCTACACCACAACCACCCTTCTCCCCACTTCTCCTCCCATGCTCTCTCTTCTCCACCCCTGCCCTTCCCATTACACCCTCCACCTCACCCTCCACACCACCCCTGCAACAGCAGCACTCTGAGCCCACCCGGCCTTGCCACCAAGTGTCCAAGGCACAGCAAAGAACGCCCACCACCACTCCTGCACCGATCTCCATCCCTCCTGATGCAATCTCCACCCCTGCTGCTGCTGCTGCTGCTGCTGCTCCCTGAGTCGCTTCTTCAATCGCCGGACCCCCTGCTGTTGATGCTTCTGCACATGCACTCTTACTGGACCCGCACGCACCCCTGATGCTTCTACAATCCCTGCAGCGGTGAATGCCCTTATGCAGCACCGCTCCCAGCCACTGCAGCGTGCGGGAGAGAAGGGGGCATGGGATGGTGGCACGGGCTGAGGGAGGCAGAGGGGGAAGAGGAGGAAGGGGAGGTTGCAAAGAGAATCTTGCTACGTGTGCTTCTCTTTTCTCCCTTGTATCGTGATCGGCCAGTGTTTCTCCTCCTCCTCCTCCTCCTCCTCCTCCTCCTCCTCCTCCTCCTCCTCCTCCTCCTCCTCCTCCTCCTCCTCCTCCTCCTCCTCCTCCTCCTCTTCCTCCTCCTCCTCCTCCTCTTCCTCCCCCTCCCCTCACTGCAGCCAGCAGCACCGCCTGTGCCTCCGCTCCAATCACTCGCAGACACCTGGCGACCAGCTTTGCCACCTTGGCGCTGACGTGGCGGCACCACTTGTGGCCATGTAGACTCGAGACTTGCTGCACGTGAAAGCTGATGGCAGATATAGAATGGGGCAGACTTTGGCGGTGGTGGTGCTGCTGCTGCTGCTGCTGCTGTTGTGGCTGACCGAGGGGATGCAAGTTGTGTTCCAGATAAGAAGACAGTGGGGTTGGGTGCAGCCGGACATGCGGCACCAGGAGCAGCTGCGGCAGCAGGAACGCCAAAATGGGCGAGTATGACTGTGGAGCCTGTGACTGCAGCGGGTGTGACCGTGGCGCATGTGACTGTAGTGGGTGTGACTGTTGCGGGTGTGAGAGCATGTGAGTGCCGTGAAGCCACGACCGTACTTCTGAGCTGGCAAGGGCAGCCATGGATGCTGGGGGGAGGGAGGCGAGGAGGGACAGGGGCGACATGGTAGGGAGAGGAGGGCCGTGAAGCCACGACCGTACTTCCGCGCAGGCAAGGGCAGCCATGGATGCCGGGGGGAGGGAGGCGAGGAGGGACAGGGGAGGCATAGTGGGGAGAGCAGGGGCAGAGGTGGAAGAGGAGAGGGGCGCGGGGGGGAGCGAGGGAAGGGGAAGCTCTTCTCTGCTAGAGCCTGTTAGTCCGGTTGCCCCTGCTGCTCCTCCTCCTCCTGCTGCTGCTGCTGCTGCTGCTGCTGCTGCTGCTTCTGCACCTGCTGCTATTTCTGCTTCTGTTGTTCTTGCTGCTCCTTCACCTCCTCCTGCTCCTGTTACTGCAGCTGCTTCTGCTGACCCTCCTCCTGCTGCTTCTGCCTCTGCAACGCTCTCCTGCTGCCATCAGACCTTCCACCGACCCATCGCGTGCCACGTCACATGCCACGTCGTGTGCCACGTCAGCTGCCACGTCACGTGCCAGTAACGCATCCACGGACAAATCACCCGGCAGTTCCAAGCCCCACCCTGCGCCAACCCCTGCCCCCGCCACTCTCACCACAGCGGGCGCGCCTTCGTAGAAAAACGCCTGCTCGCTCTCACACTCACACGGCCCCCTCTCTTCGCTTTCCCTCCGCCCTCCCACTATCCCCCGCCGCCTCCTCCGCCTCTTATCTATATGCGCGCCCGCCCAGCTACGAGCACTGCAGCCGCCTGTACGAGGAGAAGGCGGGGAAGGCACGGAAGGCGCGGAAGGCGCGGAAGGGGAAAGCGGGCCGTCACTTTTCGACCTCTCGCGCTGGTCGGGAAGAGGTGGGTTGTAGCGGGGAGGTGGCGTGAGAGAGGGGGCCAGCGGCCAGTGGAATCGGCGCGAGAGCGCGAGCGCAAGGCTCTCTGCCGCCGCCGCTATGGCTGACAGACGCGACACGCGCTCCGCCATGCCCTCCGCGCTCGTGCCGCTGGTGCCACCGGACATACCGCTGAGACGGCTGGGAACACAGAGGCCGCTGGTCCGACGAGACCTGTGGTGTGGATTGAAGAGATTTATTAGTGCTTTCTTGGCGACCTACGACGACGACGACGGCAGACGACGCTCGATGCGAAAGATATCAGCGAGAATTAAGCACAAGCACAGGCATGCGGCATCGCCGCTGCCACACCTGCTGCTGTCACCTGGGGAAGAGAAAATTCGCCGCCTTGCTTGGCGCACCAGCGGGCTGACTTGGTTTTGCGGCTTTGTCGCTGGCGGCCACGACTCGCTTCAGCCAGACGTGACTTCCGTTTAGCGATTGTAATTTGGGATTCTGAATTTTAATAATGTTGATGTGAGTGTAGGGAAGTCAAGAGGTTTCGCATTCGGTTCACAGAGTTTCAAAACATTTTTTCACGCATTTCCTTCACGTGCATTTTCGGGAACAAAAATCCCTCCCCACGGCATTCAAAAACATCTCGTGTCCTTTCTAAAGTAACAAGGAAAGACACTAAATTGTAGTGGCGGTGATATGTTCTGTTAACGAAAAACATGAAAGCGAATATTTAGTTGCAGAAACAGCCCATCACCACCACGTGCCTCCACCGTTGGATTGTCTCCTCTCCACCATGCTACCTCACGCCGCTTTTCCGCATCGTGCGGGGGCGACAGCGCCGTCAAAATCGGCGCTCCTCGTCAATCCTCAGGGTTCTAAAGTTCCTACCACACAAGGTTCCCCATGTTTTCTCCCCCGTTATCCCCTCAGAATAATCTCCGCCTCCCGCACTCTCTCCGCCGTCCCCACTCTCTCCGCCTTTCCCGCTTTCTCCGCCTCTCGCTCCCCCTTCTCCTATTCCTGCACTCCCGCATTCCCCCTTAAACTCCGCCGATCCCAACCTCTCCGGCACCTCTCCCATTGGCGGACTCCGCACCTCCCCGCGCCCGCGCGCGCGAGCGACAGCGGCGGGAGAACCGGAGGCGGCGCAGACGCAGGCGGAGACGGTGCGGAATCGGGGGACGGCGGAGCGCGCGCGGGAGGCGTGACTGCGGACGCCGCCGCCGGCGATAACGGCGGGTTCTGGGCGACCGTGTCGTCCGCGATGCAATCAATGGCGGACGTGGTGACGCAGGCGCAGCGCGAGCTGCTGGAGGGGGAATACAGCGCGGGCACGCCGTGGCTCGATGGTGCGCGGGGAAGAGGGGAAGGGGGAAAGGGGGAAGGGTAGGTGGGGTCGGAAGAAGAGGGGGAGAACGGATAGTTGGGGGGAATGCAGGCGCAGCGGGAGTTACTGGAGGCTAGATGGTGCGGGGGGAAGCGGAAAAGTGGGAGAGGGTGGGGGGAAGGGGGAATGGGGAACAGGGGAGGGGGTGGGGGAAAGGGGGAAGGGGGAATGGGGAAGAGGGGAGGGGGTGGGGGAAACGGGGAAGGGGGAATGGGGAAGAGAGGAGGGGGTGGGGGAAAGGGGATGTGGGGAAGGGGGATGGGGGATGGGGTGGAGGAGTGGGAGAGCGGAAAGCGAGGGGCAGGGTGGGGAATGCAGGTGTGAGGGAACTGGGCTGATGGGAAGATGGGGAAGGATGACGTGGGTTGAAAGGGGGGGGGAGGGGGAAGGGGGCAGTATGGGTTGCGTGCGTTGAGTTGTGTCGAGTTGATTCTGTTCGAGTCGAATCGGTCTCATCTCATGTTGTTGAGTGCTCACTCGTTTCTTCTCGGCCTGTTTGTTTCCCCGGGAACTTCCTCCGTCCCTCCCTCCTCTCCTGCTGAAGCAGATGATGACGTGTCGCTGCTCCATTCGCAGATTACCCCGTACAACTTCATCAAGGTACCCATTGGTAAAAGCACACAGCGGATGGAGGGGAGATGACGTGACCATGGTGGTGGTCAGATGTGGTGGGCAGATGTGGTGGGCAGATGTGGTGGGCAGATGTGGTGGGCAGATGTGGTGGGCTCTTCATGTTTCCTTCTAAACCCCGCCACACCACATTTGTCTCCCTTTTCTACATGACATGGCACCACCTTCTGGACGAAATTCGTTGCTTCATTGCCCCTGTGCCCATTCCCCTTGCTCACCATTCTCCCCTTCTCTCCACCTCTTCCACCCCCCCTCTCTCCCTGCGTGGCGTCTTTTTCTCATTCCTCCCATCCCCTCCCCATCTCCCCATCTTCCCATCTCCCGTCTCTCCCATCTCCCCATTTCCCCATCGTGCCCGCAGGTGGTGGAGGTGTCGCGCCGGGCAGACAACAGCCTGGCGGGCTCGCGAGTGCTGCTGCTGGACCAACCAGGGAACATCCACTCCATGCACTTTAAGTACAAGGTGGGCCGCTTCTGAGAGGCCTCGAAACAGATACGCTTCATGTCGCAACGCGAGTGCTGCTGCTGGACCAGCCGGGGAACATCCACTCCATGCACTCCATAGCCCTGAACAGGCTCTTTGTGTCACCTCTCTACCTTGCCGTCCCGCTGTTCCTCCAATCTGGTTTCTGAGAATTCTAAAAAACCACTCTTTACCTTGCCGTCCCTCTGCTCCTCCTACCCCATTTTGTTCCCTTTTGAGATGTCTCAAAAGTCGGCTCTTCGTGTCACCTCTTTACCGTGCCGCCCCTCTGCTCCTCCAATCCGATTTTGTTCCCGTTCCTTTCTTTCTCCGCATCTCCCTATACCCATATCCCCCCATCCCTTCCCCTTTTCCCTCTGCCACAGCCCTGGACGGGGTCCCACCCACCCCGCAACGATGTCTTCACGCTGCTGCCCCCTCTGCTCCACCCATCATCCTATCCTTCCTCTCTTCCTTTATTTTTCCCTCTCTTATACCTTCCCCCATCCCCCATCCCCCATCCCGCTTCCCGTCCGTCACAGCCCTGGACAGGCTCCTACTACGATCTCTTCACGCTGCTGCTGCTGCCTCTATGCTCCACACATCATCCCATTCTGCTTCCTGCCCTTCCTTTCCCGCTGTACTCATATTCCCTTCCTCCTCCGTCACAGCCCTGGACGGGGTCCTACTACGATCTCTTCACGCTGCTGCCGCCTCTGTTGCCCTCCTCCTCGGGTCCCATCGCCATTCTCGGCCTTGCTGCTGGCACTGGCGCTCGGTGCGTGCATATATGGGTGCATGCGTGGGTGCATACATGGGTGCGTACATGGGTGCATGGGTGCATACATGGGTGCATGCGTGGGTGCATGGGTGCATGCGTGGGTGCATGGGTGCATGCGTGGGTGCATGGGTGCATGCGTGGGTGCATGGGTGCATGCGTGGGTGCATGGGTGCATGAGTACATGGGTGCATGGTTGGATGGGTGAATGGCATGCCATGCCATGGCATGGAATAATTGCACTGTGCTGGGCGGGAATCGCAGGCCTGGACGTGCATGCTGTTGTGTGTCGCACATCCCCTGCTACCCAATCTTAATCTTACATCTATCCCATCTCAACCCACTTGCTCCTTTTTTCGTCGTGCCCTCTGTACTTTCCTCCTCCACCTCACTGTCATCCCCACCCTCCTCCCCTCCCCTCCCCTCCCCTCCCCTCCCCTCCGCTCCCCTCCCCTCCCCTCCCCTCCCCTCCCCTCCCCTCCCCTCCCCTCACTCCTCGCTTCCCACGGCTCCCCTCCTCTGCCCTCCGCACTGCGTGCAGCCTGCTACTGCGCCACTACCCGCACCTGGAGCTGCATGGGTGGGAGATAGACGAGCACGTCATTCAGGTCCGTCAGCCTATGCTCATCAACCTGCACCCTATGGAGCTTCCGCATCTCTCGAGTCTTTGCCTTTTCTCTGTTCCATTCCATTCCATTGCTTTTCCCCGTATTGTCAGCCACTGACAGCTCTGGCCGCACGTTCTGAACTCCCAGACGCACGTACAAATCACACAGGTCCACAGGAGGATTTGACATATAGTGACAAATATTCTCATGCCCTCTCCCCGCCCGTGTGTCTTGGTTTCTGCTGTCTCTGCTGTCTTTGCTGTCCCTGCTATCTCTCTTCTCTCTGCTGTCTCTGCTGACTCTGCTGTATTGTTGTTTCCTGGTCTCAGGTTGCCCGCACGTATTTTGATTTGGAAGAGTTGGAAGACGGCTCGTTTGCTGCCCAGGAGCTCAGACCCTATGTGCCTTTCAGCGATAGTGACACTGACAGTAACGAAGGAGACTATATGGGGGAGGAGGAGGAGAAGGAACAAGATCACGGAACGAGAGCAGCAGCAGCAGCAGCAGCAGCAGCAGTAACAGTAACAGGAACAGCCACGGAAGCAGACCTATCGCATGCGGATGGCATTGGGCGTCTTGTAGCGCACTGTGGCGACGCACTCTCCTCGTCAGCAACCGTGCCGGGCGGCTTCGCAGGCATCATAGTGGATCTGTACAGCCGAGGCGCTGTCGTGGCGCCACTTCAGCGCGAGGACACGTGGCGCGATCTCAGCGGTCGGTTGCGCGAGGGAGGGAAAATCCTGGTGAACTGCGGAGGAGGGTGTGTAGAGGGGGACGAGTCGGTGCAAAGCGATGGAGAGGCAATCATGCTTGCGACTTTAGAGGCTATGGCTGCTGTGTTTCCACCAGAGTCTATCCTGTGTCATAGAGTGGGAGATGAGGATGGGGAGGATGATGGCAGTGATGACATGGATTGGGACGGTAATGTGATGGTGATTGCGGGGCATGATAGAATGCCTTGGCCGCTGCTTCCTGCTGTGCCAGCACCAGCGGCAGCATCATCACCATCACTACCCTTCCTAGTGCCATCATCATCATCAGCATCATCACCCACATCATCACCATCACCATCGTTACATCCAGGAGGAGTGGGTGGGGAGAAGGAGAGAGAGCAAGCAGAGGGAGGAGGGGTTGCGAGGGAGTGGGAGGAGGAGTGGCGGGCACGGGTGCCGGCAGAGCTGGAAGGGAAGGTGGGGCAGTGGATGCCGCTGGGGAGATTCATGGAGGCACAACGGCGACGCATGCGGGTGAAAGCAACTGCACGCCTGCGGTGACGCAATGTTGGGGTGGTGGCTGGCTGGGGTGACAGTCTGACAGGAGGAGTTAGTGGTGGTGCAGGAAGCACAGCGCTGGGATGGGAGGTTGAGGAAAGGGGCTTCAGAGGCTGCGCCTGGAGAGCTGGGGGGAGGCGAGAGAGCAAGCAGAGGGAGGAGGCGTTGCGAGGGAGTGGGAGGAGTGGCGGGCACGGGTGTCGGCAGAGTTGGAAGGGAAGGTGGGGCAGTGGATGCCGCTGGGGAGATTCATGGAGGCACAACGGCGACGCATGCGGGTGAAAGCAACTGCACGCCTGCGGTGATTCTGTGCTGCTGGATGCAGCAATGTTGGGCTGCTGCTAACTGGTGTGACTGTGGTATGACAGTGGTGTGACAGGTGCAGTCAGTCGCGCTGCACTGGAGTCACTTGTGAGGATTCTCATAAGTGACTTTTG